GGACTCAGGACTGAACCCAGGACCCAGGACTGGACTCAGGACCCATGACTGGACTCAGGACTGAACCCAGGACCCAGGACTGGACTCAGGACTGGACTCTTGACTGGACTCAGGACTGAACCCAAACCAGGAAGAAAAGAGCTAAAATAGTGTTAGCATGAATGCTAATGAGGAAAAGAAGCTGAGAGACTCTGAGGCTACAGGTTAGCTTTGCTAGGTTAGAGTGAACCCTGAACGTGTTGGGAGGATCAGAGGTTCTGATCAGAAGGTTCTCTTAATTAGGTTCTGTTAATGAGGTTCTGATATTAACGAGGTTCTGATGTTAACAAGGTTCTGATAATGAGGTTCTGATGTTAACGAGGTTCTGTTAACGAGGTTCTGATGTTAACGAGGTTCTGATGTTAACAAGGTTCTGTTAATGAGGTTCTGATATTAACGAGGTTCTGATGTTAACGAGGTTCTGATGTTAACTAGGTTCTGTTAACGAGGTCCTGGTGTTAACGAGGTTCTGTTAACGAGGTCCTGGTGTTAACGAGGTTCTGATGTTAACGAGGTTCTGGTGTTAACGAGGTTCTGGTGTTAACGAGGTTCTGGTGTTAACGAGGTCCTGGTGTTAACGAGGTTCTGATGTTAACGAGGTTCTGATGTTAACGAGGTCCTGGTGTTAACGAGGTTCTGATGTTAACGAGGTTCTGATGTTAACGAGGTTCTGATTAGCGATGTTCTGATATTAACGAGGTTCTTTTAATGAGGTTCTGATGTTAACGAGGTCCTGGTGTTAACGAGGTTCTGGTGTTAATGAGGTTCTGGCGTTATCGAGGTCCTGGCGTTAACGAGGTCCTGGCGTTAACGAGGTCCTGGTGTTAACGAGGTTCTGATTAGCGATGTTCTGATATTAACGAGGTTCTGTTAATGAGGTTCTGATGTTAATGAGGTTCTGATGTTAATGAGGTTCTGATGTTAATGAGGTTCTGATGTTAACGAGGTCCTGGTGTTAACGAGGTCCTGGTGTTAACGAGGTGCTGGTGTTAACAAGGTTCTATTAACAAGGTTCTGGTGTTAACGAGGTCCTGGCGTTAACGAGGTCCTGGTGTTAACGAGGTCCTGGTGTTAAAGAGGTCCTGATGTTAACGAGGTCCTGGCGTTAACGAGGTCCTGGCGTTAACGAGGTCCTGGTGTTAAAGAGGTCCTGGTGTTAACGAGGTCCTGGTGTTAACGAGGTCCTGGTGTTAACGAGGTTCTGGTTTTAACGAGGTTCTGGTGTTAACGAGGTCCTGGTGTTAACGAAGTCCTGTTAACGAGGTTTTGGTGTTAACGAGGTCCTGTTAACGAGGTCCTGTTAACGAGGTCCTGGTGTTAACGAGGTCCTGGTGTTAACGAGGTTCTGGCGTTAACGAGGTCCTGGCGTTAACGAGGTCCTGGTGTTAACGAGGTTCTGATTAGCAATGTTCTGATATTAACGAGGTTCTGTTAATGAGGTTCTGATGTTAATGAGGTTCTGATGTTAACGAGGTCCTGGTTTTAACGAGGTCCTGGTGTTAACGAGGTGCTGGTGTTAACGAGGTTCTATTAACAAGGTTCTGGGGTTAACGAGGTCCTGGCGTTAACGAGGTCCTGGCGTTAACGAGGTTCTGGCGTTAACGAGGTCCTGGTGTTAACGAGGTCCTGGTGTTAACGAGGTCCTGATGTTAACGAGGTCCTGATGTTAACGAGGTCCTGGTGTTAACGAGGTCCTGGCGTTAACGAGGTTCTGGTGTTAACGAGGTTCTGTTAACGAGGTCCTGGTTTTAACGAGGTCCTGGTTTTAACGAGGTCCTGGTGTTAACGAGGGCCTGGTGTTAACGAGGTCCTGGTGTTAACAAAGTCCTGTTAACGAGGTTCTGGTGTTAACAAGGTCCTGTTAACGAGGTCCTGATGTTAACGAGGTCCTGATGTTAACGAGGTCCTGTTGTTAACGAGGTCCTGGTTTTAACGAGGTCCTGGTGTTAACGAGGTCCTGGTGTTAACGAGGTCCTGGTGTTAACGAGGTCCTGGTGTAAATGAGGTTCTGGTAACGAGGTTCTGGTGTTAACGAGGTTCTGTTAACGAGGTTCTGTTAACGAGGTCCTGGTGTTAACGAGGTTCTGTTAACAAGGTTCTGTTGTTAACAAGGTCCTGGTGTTAACGAGGTCCTGTTAACGAGGTCCTGTTAACGAGGTTCTGGCATTAACGAGGTCCTGATGTTAACGAGGTCCTGGTGTTAACGAGGTCCTGTTAACGAGGTCCTGGTGTTAACGAGGTCCTGTTAACGAGGTCCTGGTGTTAACGAGGTCCTGTTAACGAGGTTCTGGTGTTAATGAGGTCCTGGTGTTAATGAGGTCCTGGTGTTAACGAGGTTCTGTTAACGAGGTCCTGGTGTTAACGAGGTCCTGATGTTAACGATGTCCTGGTGTTAACGAGGTTCTGTTAACGATGTCCTGGTGTTAACAAGGTCCTGTTAACGATGTCCTGGTGTTAACGAGGTTCTGGCGTTAACGAGGTCCTGGCGTTAACGAGGTCCTGGCGTTAACGAGGTTCTGGTGTTAACGAGGTTCTGGTGTTAACGAGGTTCTGGTGTTAACGAGGTTCTGGTGTTAACGAGGTCCTGGTGTTAACGAGGTTCTGGTCCACTCTGACCCACAGAGAGGGGAAGTACGGACACGCGGCCTGCTTCGGCCTGCAGCCCGGCTGCCTGCTGCCTGACGGCACTCGGCAGATGTCGGTGGCGGCCATGGTGGCGAACTTCAGCAAGCCGACGGCGGACGCTCCGTCTCTTCTGCAGCACGACGAGGTGGAGACCTACTTCCACGAGTTCGGCCACGTCATGCACCAGCTGTGTGCTCAGGTGGGCYGGTCTTCAGCTGGTCTTCAKCCGGTCGGTGTCRGGAGGCGGGGCTAAAGCTGTGCTGTGCCCACAGGCGGACTACGCCATGTTCAGCGGGACCCACGTGGAGCGGGACTTCGTGGAGGCGCCCTCTCAGATGCTGGAGAACTGGGTCTGGGAGCGGGACCCCCTGCAGAGGATGTCCAAACACTACAAGACCGGGAAGCCCATCCCCGAGGACCTGCTGGACAAGCTCATCAAGTCCCGCCTGGCCAACACCGGTACGTCCCACACMGGAAGCAGCAGGACCGCCGTGGTTCTGGTCCGGCTGGCTAACATGTGACCCGTGTGACCTCAGGTCTGTTCAACCTGCGGCAGATCGTCCTGGCCAAGGTGGACCAGGCCCTGCACACCAGGACCGGCCTGGACCCGGCAGAGGAGTACGCTCGTCTCTGCGAGGACATCCTGGGTGTCCCTGCGTCTGCAGGTGTGAACCGTGAGTACAGGTGTGTCCTGAGAGTCCACAGGAAGTGACCTGACCTGTCCCGCTGCAGGAACCAACATGCCGGCCACCTTCGGTCACCTGGCGGGCGGCTACGACGCTCAGTACTACGGCTACCTGTGGAGCGAGGTGTTCTCCATGGACATGTTCTACGCCCGCTTCAAGCAGGAGGGCATCATGAACCCACAGGTGAGTCTGCAGGAGGCCCCGCCTCCTCTACACGCCCACCTCTGCTGTGTGTCAGTCTCTGTCTCCTGATTGGTCCACAGGTGGGTCTGGACTACAGGAAGTTCATCCTGCAGCCCGGCGGCTCCGAGGACGCCTCAGAGATGCTCAGGAAGTTCCTCGGGCGAGAACCCAAACAGGAAGCCTTCCTCCTGAGCAAAGGGCTGACGCTGGAGCTGGACGCCAACGCCCCCTGTCCCTGCTGACCAATCACAGCCTGGCTCCGCCCACTCCACCCAGGGCCAGCACTCAGAACCACAGACTGAGGTTTTGTAGAAAAATACTGTAAAATGTTCTGAAAGTCCAGAATAAAAAGATCTGAGGTGATGTTTGTGTCTGAACCAGACTTACTATAGTTAAAACTAATTAAGACTGAAACTGAAAAACATTTTAGGAACTAAAATAAATAAAAACAAAAAAATAAAAAACRGTAACTAACTAAAACTGTATAATCTTTTTACAAAACTAACAAATTATTAATGAACCCACAAGGGGACATGGGGGGATTTTTTTTCTTTTGCGTTCACACACAATACTTTGTACATGAACTGAATTAAATCAGACTTTTATTTTGAAATATCCAGTTACCAAAACAGGATGTGTCGCCACAAGTTTGTGAAATTGACATTGATGTTGTGTAGCTGCACTGTGTTCAAATATCACCATATGACACACGTGTGTGTCTGTGATATATTCACTGTGAAGCTGAAGTAAAGCAGTAGCTAACTCACTAATGGTGAACATGTGAGTTTGTGAATAAACCAGCAGCACAACAGTGTTTAACAACTTGTGAGGGAACGCAAAAGAAAACAAATGTCCCATGTCCCCTCGCGGGCTCTAAATTATAGATAAAATATCCTTAGTTTTAGAGTTTGTCAACATATTTTGAGCTGTGTGGATTTGTTTATTTTTATTTTAAAGTAGTTTCACATCAGCTGTGGTCTGTAACACGTTTACACTCTGCTGCTGCTCAGCATCACCTGCTAACTGATGACAACAACAGTTCAGAGAAATCACAACGTTCACTTTGGGATTTCTTTGAATATGATGCTATAAAAGATCAAAACAAGTATGTTGTAGTGGAAACAGGTGATAAAACAGGTGGAATCCTTCTGAAGGTAAAAACTGCATGAATCAGTCACACAAGATGCTAACTGTGACTATCTGACACGTTAGCTTCTCTCAGTAGCTCCATGAAAAACAAACAACAGGTTGGAGACAAACTGTTGTCATCGTCCTGAAATAATCACCAAGTTTTTACTTGGTAAAATTAAGTTACACAATTATTTTAGGAAGTTGTTGTTATAATGGACTGATTGAACTAGTGACCAGATATCTGTTGGTTAGTGAACTCACAGGAACATCACAAGCTGGAGGATGCTTTGATAAATACTGATAAAAACTAARGTGAGGTAAAACTAAGCATTAAAAATGCAATAATAACATCCATCCGTTCTCTGTACACGTTTCTTCCTTTCAGGGTCACTGGTGTCCATATCCAGCAGCCACAGTGTGAGGGGCGGGGCCTAACCTGGACAGGTCTCCAGTCCATCACAGGGACRATAATAACTAATAAAACAGTTTCMTAAAATGCACAATGGGTGTACCACAAGGATCTGTGCTTGGACCCCTGCTTTTTRGTCTTTACATCAATGACCTGTCTAAGTTTTGTCATGATGTAGAAGTCCAGTTATACGCAGACGACACTGTTCTGTACACACATGTTAAAACAACTCAACGTGCAGCTGAGAAATTAACCACAGCTCTGGAGGGAGCAGTTAACTGGTTAAATCTATCCTGTCTGACTTTWAATGTCAACAAAACAAAAAGTATGTTTTTCTCTAAGACTAAATCGGACTCCTCAAATTTAAACATTTATATCAAGAGTAAACAAACGGATACTGTGACTGAGTTTAAGTATTGTGGAGTTTTTTTTCTTCAAACCTACAAGACATTAAAAAATGACACAAACTGTTATAACCTGGTCAATTTTAGACATGTTAGATCTTGTTTGTCATTGGAAGCAGCCAAGATATTCATGCACTCATGTTTCACATCTGTTTCATGTTGGGGACAAACCAGTATAAAACCTGTAGAGTCTTGTTACAAACAGGCCCTCAAAATATTGGACAACAAGCCTTTAACACACCACCACTGTCAGACTGCAGGAACATAACTTGTTTTCTTCTGAGAATTTTACAGGTTTTTCAAATACAAACAGGTTGTTGTGTGTTGTTGTCGTACGGCTTGTGACATCACAGGCTGTAGCAAGTGGAAAACTTGTTAATATACATGAAAAATACATTTACTTACAGTAAATATGCCCTTGGGTGCATTTCTTTTGGTCCTAGGACTGTTTTTGTAAGAAGTACACACCCAAAGTAGAGTATAAAAAGCTTTAAAAAGTGAATTTTGCATAATTTAAATCAACAATCATTGAGTTGCACTGAGAAATCAGTTTTAGTTTGCTTCTGGTTGAGTACGTTGGAGGTGGGCGTGGTTACATTTATTAAATGAAGGTATGTATTTTTTTATTAATTTATTTAGGATGTTTTAATTGCAAACTGTCCTCATAAATAAATAAATTCATTCATTCAACTAAACTAAGCATTAAAAATATAATAACTAATAAAAACGATCAAATCCACTGAAAAAACGAATTAAAACAAACAGAAATAAAAGAAAAAAGTAACAAACTAAAACTGAACTATAATGAAAAATCCAGAATTATTATAATCTGGGTCGGAGCGACCAGAACCAGAACTGTTTTAAACATGAMGTGTTTCATCATGTCTTTAAAAGARARAAGTCCAGATGTTTGTAGAACCTGAGCTCTGCTGAACAGAACCTGTTTCAGAACCTCAGCTGTAGTGTTGAAGGTTGACCAGCAGGTGGCGCCAAACACAATGACGTCATCACACTGCAGCGTCTCAACAACCATGTGGGGGTCTCTGTGGGCGAGTGGGCGTGTCACAAGGAAAGGCGGTTCTAAAGGGACACACCTGATTTGACGAACTTTGTTAAAGGGACACACCTGACTGGACAAGCAAAAAGGGGCGTCACCGTACGGCACCACCTGATTGGACAAGAACAAAAGGGGCATCACTGTACGGCACCACCTGATTGGACAAGAACAAAAGGGGCGTTACCATACGGCACCACTTTTTCTGGAGACCCCTACTTGGGTCAAGTCTCCTGGTTGACCTTAGTGTTGGGGTCAGGGTCAGGCTGTAAAGAGGTCAAGCAGGGTCTAAGGATACCGTCATGTAGGCCTCGTAGCCCACAGTCTTTATGGTTTAGACACGCCCACTCTTATGACACGCCCACTTTGACTCCACAGASAACCTCTTCTCTCAACAACTGGGAACTCCATCACTGGACCTAACTGATGAACAGGAAGTCATATGATCTGGACTTCCTGTCTCTGCAGGGGGACAGGTCTGTGGACTCTGGACCAGTTCTGGGTCGGTCACCAGTTTGCTGATTAATGTAAACAAACAGCTGGTTCTGGTCCAAACATAATGACATGACTCTGAGGGAACCAGCAGCTGATTGTCTCTGTGCCACTTCTATGTCGTCATCGTATCATGACGTCATGGCCGCTCGGAGTGAAGCTCCTCCCTCCAGCCGGCTCGCCGCCCGGCTGATTGTAAAGGAACGGACCTCCTGCTGATCAGTTCCGCCCGGTCTCCTGTTTCTGCCGGAACGTGACACCGACCGGAAACAGAGAGCTGCGCTAGCATCGTTAGCATCGTTAGCTTCCCTTTTGTTTGACAGAAAGGCCTTCATCATCCTGGAGGAAGAGGAGGCTGAGGCCGGCGGGAGACCAGAGACCAGCTCCGACCCGGCAGGTATGTGGACCAGGTGGACCAGGTGGACCGGTCTGGACCGGACCTGAGGATGACTCAGGAGATCTGAGGCTCGGAACCAGAACCTGCTTTTTATTCAACAAACAGTTTAAATGTGATCTGGATTAACCCTTTAATCTGCTGGGATTATTAATCAGAAACAGATTAAATATATAGATAATTTTAATCCRGATTAAATGAATCGTTTTAATATTTAGAACCAGAACCAACCATCTGTTTACAATCTGAACTGTCCCGGGTCTGGATCAGAACCACCTGGTCACCTGCTTGTTTGGACCAGAACATCTCAGAACCGGGTGGTTCCTGCTGGACCGGACCGGTTCTGTAGACCTCAGTGTTCTGATCCGGTTCAGGTCAGAACCTCCTGAAACAGAACTGGGCCCAAACAGAACCAAAGGTCCAGATTTCTTCAGGTTTATTGGAACAGAGCAGAACTTTTCTGAAAGTTTTTATTTTGTTTCACTGCAGCTCGCAGTGCCTGTGACGTCACATGTTTGTTATAAACATGTGACGTCACATGTTTATAACATGTTTATATCAAACATGTGACGTCACATGTTTATAACATGTTTATAACAAACATGTGACGTCACATGTTTATAACATGTTTATAACAAACATGTGACGTCACATGTTTATAACATGTTTATAACAAACATGTGACGTCAC